GGTTTGGTTCCCCCGGGGCCGGGTGGGGGGGGGGGATTGCTTTGAGTGTCTGATCCTGTCTCTGCTTCCCAGATGCCAAGATTTCAGTCCTGCTCTGCACTTACGCAGTACTTTATTGAGTCCAGGGCTTTCCAAGCGCTAGGCAAGCCTGCTACCAACTGAGCTGCATCCCTAGCAACACATTTTTCCCTAGAAGGTGGTGAAGAATTTATCTTGACTGAGAGGGTCACGTCAGTTTTGCTCAGGTCGGGGCCAAGAGGCCTCCAAGCCTCACACAGCCTTCTCCTGTCCTCTTCTGCAGACCGGACATGGGCCTACTCCTTCTCAGGTGCTGTGCTGTTCTCCATGGGCTTCCTCGTCGGCTTGCTCTGCTATCTAGGCTACAAATACGTCACCAAGCCACCAGTACCTCCTAACTCCCTGGTGAGTCACCCACCTGGGGCCAGAAAGGGGAATCTTAGGGGAGACCCTCCAAGTCCCAGAGGGCAGGGGAGGCCCTGAGTAGTATAGAGTTCTGCCACAACGCAAATAGCTCATAAAGACGGCAGGGCAGGTTCCAGGGTGTGTGGAGAAGGCAGTGGGATTGAACAGGGGTGCCCTATGACTTGAAAGCATTAGGGCCAGATGGGAGTGCAGGTTCCAGGAACATTGAGGGCTGATCAGTGAGGCTCTATGGGGCTGTGGAATGCCTGACTGTTTGAATGGGAAATCAGAGCTCAGTGTGTGGGTACAGTCATGTAACCCCAGGACTAGGGGTACTGATACAGAAGAATCTCAAGGTCCAGGCCAGCCTGAGATGCATAGTGAGACTTTATCTTACAGAGCTACCCCCACCACCAACAAAGAAAAAAATCAAAAGTCAACAACAAAGAAATAAATCAAAAACATGGGCAGAGTGGAGGTTATCCCTCCTGGCACTCAGAAGGTGGAAGCAGGGGGATCAGGATTCCAAGCTCACCCTTAGCTACAGAGTGAGTGAGAACCTGTCTCCCAAAATATAACAAGGGCTGGGAACACAGCTCAGTTGGCAGAGTGCTTCCCCAGCATGCACAAGACCCTGGGTTTGACTCCCAGCACTCAGGGAAGGTGAAGGAAGGAGGAACCAAAGGGCATCCTTAGCTACATATCAGGCTCAAAGCTAGCCTCAGCTACATAAAACCCTGCCTCAAAGAAACAAAACCAGTCAGTCATGATGGCACACATCCTTAATCTCAGCATGCAAGAGATAGAGGCGAGAGGACCTCTGTGAATTTAAGGCCAGCCTGGTCTACATAGCAAGTTACAGGACAGCCAGGGCTACATAGAGAGACCCTGTCTCAAAACAACTACAACAAAATTCAAAACTAAACAAAGAGCCTCTAAATGGACAGCTCAGGTCTGCCCCACTTTTTTTTTATGAGAATCCAGGTTTCAGACTGTAATGTGAAATCTCTAATTTCAATTACTGACACCTGGTTTTAGCACCCAGTCCCTAGGGAATCAACACATCAGCCACCCCACCCGGCTGTGGGTCAGCTTCTGCTCTAGCAGCAAGGTCACTGTCAGAGCCTCTGGCTGAGCCGTGTGGCTCTGGAGCCAACTCTCTCCATCTGGGGGGCGCAGGGGGCATTTTGCATAGTGTCACAGTTCTGGCTACTCATTGTCTCTCAAACTCTTCCGGCCTTCCCCACAACCCCATCTTTTTCCACCTCAGCCCCTCATAGCCATGCAAGCCACAACCTTGAGGAAGCTCCCACTCTGGTTCATCTACTTCTTGGACTGTCAGTCACCTGGAGCAAGGAGATCCTAAGTTACTCTATCAGATGTGACCTGGACCTTAGATGCCATGGCATCCATTTACTTTGCTTACTGTGGTTTTTCAAAACATGGTCTCACGATGTAGCCCAGGATGACGCCAAACTCAACATCTTTCTGCATCAGTCTCTTTGGAACGAGCTGCCTCAGAGGTTGGGTGCATTTGGAGGGAACTCTGTGGGCAGGGATGAGTAATGTACATCTCAAACGGACACCCAATGCCTTGACAACCCACACAGAGGGCCTTGCCCATCCATGTCACAAAACAGAACATGGAGCTGAAGAAATAAATGGCTTAGTGGGTAAAGCACTTGCCACGCAAACATGAGGATCAGAATTGGGATTCCCAAACTCACATAAAGGCTGGGAGGGTGTGGCAACCCACTCAGAAACCTAGGGCCCTAGAAGCTCATGATACTCTCAGACCACGGTGGCTAGTTAGACCAACCAAATTGGTGAGCTCATTATCAATACCTGCCTTGATATACAAGATGAAGAATGGCCAAAGATACTGGGTGTCAGTCTCTGACTTCTACACAAATGTCATGCACACAAATCATGTACAAGATCACAAAAAAGGAAAAAAACATGCCCTAAAGGATGTGTTCTTGTCTTCGCACAGAATGTCCAGCGTGTCCTGACCTTCCAGCCGCTACGCTTCATCCAGGAGCATGTGCTGATCCCTGTCTTGGACCTCAGTGGTCCCAGCAGTCTGACTCAACCTATCCAGTACTCCCAAGTGATGATCTCCACACCCAGGGAGCCACCTGGAGCCGCACAGCGGCATAGTCTGCCTGAGGTCACCTACATAGGACAGTCAGATGTCTCCACCCTCCGACCTACCACCAACGTGTCACCTCAGCAGACATTGTCCCCACCATCCTATGCCCCAAAGGCTGTCCCTGGGATCCAGCCCCCTTCCTATGCACCTCAGGTGGCCTCTGATGCCAAAACTCTGGTCTACTCGCCACAGCAGGTGATGAAGACCCATCCTGCCACCTGTAACTCACAGAGCATTCTGGACAGCTGGCCTGCTTCCTATGCTGTGTGTGGGGAAGACACTGGCCAAGACTCCACTCCTGAGGCCCTGTCCAGTCCCAAACACCTCAAGCCAAAAGGTCAGCTCCACGAAGACACACTTGCTGGAAGCTGTCTCCCAGGGGACCTTTCTCTGCAGGGAGTCACCTCCTTGGCTGCCAAGGAGACACAAAGACCAAAATCACTCCCCCCACCCCTGGAGTTTTGCACAGACAGAGGGCCTGACCTTCACGCCCTGCACAGTGGTGAACCAGAGACACCAGGGTACCTGAAGGGGGCACTATCCCTCCTGTCTTCTGTCCAGATCGAAGGCCACCCTGTCTCCCTCCCTTTGCACACCCATTCCCTCTCATGTTCCCCCTCCGACCAGGGACCAAGTCCCTGGGGCCTGCTGGACTCCCTTGTGTGTCCCAAAGATGAGGGTCCAGTGGATGAGGCTGAGGCCATGAGCCCCAGTGCTGCAGCCTCTGAGCTGGAGCCACCCACAGAACTGGACTCTCTTTTCAAAGGCTTGGCTCTCACTGTGCAGTGGGAACCCTGAAGGGAGATCAGAGCAAGCAGGCCTGGGCTTCCTCCTGCCCCACCCAGCTGACAACCCCACACCCACTAGGCCATAGGCTCTAAGGCCCAGCCCCAGTTGGGTGCCCTGGCAAGAACTAGCAAAAGGAAGATTGGGCCCCAAGTGGGAATACAAATGCACGGTGAAGGCTCTAGTGGGAAACTACAGGCAGAAGGTGTGTGCAAATGGCCTGTGCCACCCAGCCTGGCAGGTAGAATAGATGGAGCGGGAAAATGTAGGGAAACCTCCTGGGGACCATGCTACCCCCTGCCTCTGCTCTTAGGACATTGGGCTGGAGGCTGCCTAACTTCATTCACTTCCTGGACAGCTCCCTAATCTAGTTTAACCGAGAGTAAGGCATCCACCTTCTCTGGAGGAGCTTGGATTGGAAGCTAGGGGACCCAGCGAAACAGGCACTTCTGCCAAGGCCAGGGGCAGCACCATGGCAAGGCTTCAGGATGCAGTGTGGCTAGGGGCTTAGTCCCTTCCCTGCCAGTGGTTCCTTCTTTGTTCTTCTGTGGGAGGCCTCCCGCTGGAATGACCTGTTGATCCATCAAAAGGTGAGGGGACGTGCCCCACAAAGCTTTTCTGCAGGCAGGGGTCCAGAGGAAAGTGTTTAAGGGGGCCGTGGGGTCATGGGACCATGGACCCCCAGAAGCTTTGGAATCTCAGCTCGTCTGGGCTCGAGTTCAGGCCTCTACACCTGCCTATCATCCATATGACATCAAACAAATGAATTGGCTAGTTCAGACTTCAGCTTCCTCGTCGATGAAACAGCGATCATCACACCTTATGAGATGGTGCCAAGGATGACATTAATATCTGGGAGGTGCTTTGGGGCAGGATCCAATACACGGTCACGGTTTTCTGCTGGGATTTTTTTTTTTTTTTTTTTGGTCTGGAAAAACACAAGGAGGGCCTCCTCCCATTCATGTTGGCTCATGGGTGTTTTCTCACGGGATAGAAACTGTGGCAGGCAAGGACTGGACTATCTAGGGCAGACAGGATGAGTTCCTACAGGGCTGTCTGGAAACAGGCCCAGAAGCAACAAATGGCACAGCGCCTTCTCTTTGAGGTTGTAGACGGAAGCTGTCTGGGCAGAGGACATCTCACAGGGCCTTCTTGGCATGGAGGGAGCCCCAGACCTATCTGCCCCTTCTCATGATATAGCAGTGGTACTGTACCTCCCTGGCCCCCTGGCCCCATGCCTGTACCCAGGAAGAGGAAGCATCCTTTACCCTCTCTGCTGTCAGGAAGCCATGCCCATTATATCACTCTCATCTCAGATGGGCCTTTCCTGGAGGAACCCAAGGCCCAGGCCTATCCAAGGCCCTGCCTGGAGTCTGCCCTCAAACACAGGGCCTTTTGTGTCAAGAATGGATGTTCTCCACCCTGTTGAAATTATCAGGGGCTGAGTCTGGCCAAACACAGAGAAGGGAGGGCCCTTAAAGGGTTCCTGAGAGATAGGTGCCCTCCCCATCACCTTCTGGCCCCAAATTTCTGAGATACAACACCAAACTCCATCCTCGACATTGTGGCCCTCCAGAAGTACACTGTGGCCTTCCATTGTACTCACCTGTGTTTCCCCTTCTTTTCCCCACCTCATCCCCTCAATGACACATGGTGACATGTAGGGCTCTTATCTATATACCATTAATATTTAACCTCCCTCCAAGGTCACTGACCCAGTATGTCTGGCCAAAGGTTAACTGCCTTCACTTTATGAGTAAAAAGCCACTGAATGGAGGGCCTGGCCTCACTTAGTCAGTGCAACCAGAGCCATAAACTGGAGAAGCATGAGTATCTAAGGAGGAGCCTGTGCCCCCACCCCCCAGGAGAGGGCAGGCTCTGGGATCACCACACACACTCCTCCCCTGGCATCCCAGGTCTATAGCTGGCCTGAATCCTGCTAGAAGTCGGGCTGTCAAAGTTCTACACTGTGGAGGGTGAGCTTGGCTTTCCTGAGAGCCCTACCCCAAAACCTGCAAAGTGTCCAGCTCCACCTGTTGTGCCCTGTCCCACCCAGAGAAAGGTGAGTCTCTGAGTCACCTGCTTAACAAGGAATGGTAGAACCATTCTTGTGGTAAAAGAATAGTGACCACAGCATTACCTCAACCATATCTTTGGGGGAAGAGTCCAAGACCCTAGATCCAGTCTAGCTGAACCCCCGAGCTGCATGCAGCCAAGGAAAGCTGACATTGCATCCCAGCACAAAATGGTAAACTTACTAAACTTACTTAAAACATCGTGGAAGGTTTCTGTCTTTTGTTTTTTTGTTTGTTTGTTTGTTTGTTTTTTTGAATGCAGTTGCCCGCTTTTGCAACTGTGAAGATGATGACAGTGTCAGTTCCAGAAGATGCTTGAAACCACAGATGCTCCCAAATCCTGCAGATGCTCTGATGTGTTCCAAACTTGTGATAAAGCTTAATTTGTAAATTAGGTCACTTGAAGAGACTAAGCACATAATAGAATGGCAACTGTAGCAAACACAGTGAAGGTTACTTGAACACAGATACTTGGTTTGCAATAACCCTTCTGGCTGAAGGATGGGAGTGTAGCCTAAGAGTGGATACATTGGTTCACAGGATGACACACATCTATGGCATGACATCTATCATGTTGGTCATAATAAGGAGCAACATATATCATAAATTATGGAGCTGGAAAGATGGCTCAGTGGCTAAGAGCACTGGCTGCTCTTTCATAGGACCCAGATGATGGCCAGAAAACACAAGATGCCACACAACTGTCTATAACTCCTGTCTCAGGAGATCCAGCACCCTCCCCTGACCTCTGTGGGCAGTGCACGCATGGGAAGCACAGACATGCATGCAGGCAAAACGTCCATACACATAAAATAAAAATGAAGGAGGGAAAAATGTTTTAGATGTATGAATTATTTCTGGACACTCCCATGTAATGAGGTTGACTAAAAATAACTGAAACCAGAAAAAGCAAAACCATGGGTGAGGAGAACTCATTGTAGCAACAGCGGCAGAAAGAGAAAGGGGACATGAGCTGTGTCACTTAGTGGATTTCTATCGTCATCGCTGCTAGTCTTCCTCCCGTAATACATTTCGGTGCCCTTCTTTTTCAAGGAGGAAAAGGTGGCTCAGAGAAGCGGCTTTTCCTCCTCTCAAAACTTGGGACTGGGAGTTAGGGAACTAGACAGCTCAGCAGGTAAGAGCATTTGAGAACCTGAGAATCTGAGTTCAAATCCCCAGCACCCATGAATGCACCTGTAACCCAGTCTCTGGAAAGGGAAGCACAAAAGGATCCCTGAGGCTTGCTGGCTGCTAGCCTAGCTCCAGCTTCTATGACAGACACTATCCTAATGGAGTAAAACAGCCAGTAACAGAGTAGGATGGCTAATGTCATCCTCTGTGTTCTGTACACATGTGGGCAGGGCACACTCACCCACCTGTATGATTCAACACGCACCACACTCGGTTCCACACACACACACACACACACACACACACACACACTCATACATTCACGCATTCACCACTCACATTCACACACACACACTCACATACACACCACTCACATTCACACACACACACACTCTTACACACACACCACACACACTCACACACTCACCACTCACATTTATACACACAGTCACACACTCACCACTCACATTCACACACACACTCACACACATACACACCACTCACATTCACACACACACACACTCACACATTCACACACACACACTCACCACTCACATTCACACACACACTCACACATTCACACACACACACTCACCACTCACATTCACACACACACTCACACATTCACACACACACACACATACACACCACTCACATTCACACACACACACACACTCACACATTCACACACACACTCACCACTCACATTCACACACACACTCACACATTCACACACACACACACACACACACACGCTCACACATTCACCACTCACATTCACACACACACTCACACATTCACACACTCACACACATACACACCACTCACATTCACACACACACGCTCACACATTCACACACACACACTCACACATTTACACACACACCACACACACATACACGCTCACACACTCACCACTCACATTTACACACACTCTCACACACTCACCACTCACATTCACACACACACTCACACATTCACACACACACACACACACACGCTCACACACTCACCACTCACATTCACACACACACACACACACACACACACACACACACACGCTCACATATTCACCACTCACATTCACACGCACACCCTACCAACAACAGCAAAAGTTGGGGATGTGGCTCAGTCGGTAGCATGCATTCTTACCATTCACAAATCCCTTGCACCCATAAACAGGGCACGGTGACACATCTGTGATCTCAGCACGTTGGAGAAGAGGTAGGAGGATCAGAAGTTCAATGTTGATTGGGTGTGATGGCTCCCACCTTTAATCCCAGCACTCAGGAGGCAGAGGCAAGCAGATCTCTGTGAGTTCAAGGCCAGCCTGGTCTACAGAGTGAGACGCTACCTTAAAAGGAGGAGGAGGAAGAAGAGGAGTTGTTCAAGGCCATCGTCAGCTACTTAGTAGGTTTGAGGCCAACCTGGTCTGCATGAAACCTTGTCTCAAAAAGGAGAAAGAGGAAAGATTTCTTCTGACTCATGCATTCAAAGAAAATGTTCTGTCATGGTGGGGATTGTGCGGGAGGGAACAGCAGCTCCATCTCTCCGGTGGAGTGCAGTGACAACAGCTCCCCAGACCTTGTTCAATCCAGAAACACAGAGCTCAAGGCAGCAAGGAAGAAGATACGCCCTCTCTAAGAAATTCACATACACTAGCTAGGCCCCATGCCCCCAAGGTTCCCAAAACAGCACCAGATGGGGACCTGGCACCCAGATGCATGGGCCTATCAGAGGCATTCAGGCTCAAATCATAACAGGCGTTTGTTGAAAATACAGTTTCCCAACATTGCTCTGGGAGAGACAGACAGAGAATACATATTTTGTTGCCATTATTTGGGACAGAGTCTTGCTATGAACCCTAGTTGACCTGTTATTCATTATGTAATCAGACTGGATTCGAACCCATGACAGTTCTCATGAACTCATGGCCTGTGCCTCTCAAAAACTGGGATTATAGATGTGCAGTACCATCCCAGGCTTAAGAATGTGTGTGTTGTTATGTTTTATTTATTTTTCATGCATGTTGAGGTGCCCCTGACTCTGACATGTATCTGAGTACGTCCCTTCAGGCTGCCTCAGAGGGCAGGGACAACAGCCTATTTAAGGGGCTGTGTTCTGCCAAACAGAGGCACATCTCACTTAGCCATCACAGCAAGTGGGTGAGTCTGAAGATGCTCTTTCTGGACAGGACAATAGGAGATGTCGAGGGCAGAATGGTACATACTTGAAACCATGGCACTTGGGAGAGTGAGGGAGGAAGGCTGCCAGTGGCAAGCTAGCCTGGGCTACATAATAAAACCTTGTCTCAAGATAACAACAACAACAAAAAGAAGATGGTGAGGGCTGGAGTGATTTCTCAGTGTTTAGAGCGCTGGCTCCAATGGACCCAGGTTCAATTCCCAGCCTCCACATGGCAGCACTGACCATCTGTATTCTCCAGTTCCAGGGGAGCTGATGCCCTCTTCTGGCCTCTGTGGTTACCAGACACGCATGTGGTTCAAAGACGTACATGCTAGTAAAACACTCATGCGCACAATTTTTCTTTTAAGAAAAACAAATCAAAGAAATGGATGTTGGAGCCAGGCACTCCAACATCCTCCCAGGAACTGCTATGACTCCCGCCTGGGAAAGAGACAGAATCAGGCAAGCTTAGGAAGGGCTTTGCAAGTAAGGCAGGAGATTAAGATTGGGACTGAAGAGCTCAATACCACTCATGCCCTCTCCCCAGGGAGCAGCCTCTGAAGTTCTAGGAAGGGCAGCCGGTGGCATTAACCCTGGTGCCTGTGGTCCCATGAGGAGGCCAGTAGAGAAGCCATGTTCTCCAACCTGAAGCTGGCACAGGCTTCCCAGACCTGCTCATGCTCTGGAGTGCCATGTCCCTTCCTCATGGCTCCCCAACTCCTCTCCTGAGCCAGCCTCACCACACACAACCGTGGGCAGACCAGAAACAGGGCCAGTAACTGCTGGAATGACGGACAAGAAGAAGCCACACATCTCTGCCTTAGCCGAGGGAATCACAGTTTTCACCTTCAGTTCACATATCTGCATGGAGCCAGGTATCCTGACATGCTTGACACTCTGTCTCTGTCTTTCAGCAAGGAACTCAGATCAGGAAATCTGAAAACCCTCCCCAAGAAACCCTGCGGCTGGAAGAACTGAGAGCAAATTGCCTCCTCCTCCTCCTCCTCCTCCTCTTCTCCTTCTTCTTCTTCTTCTGTTGTTTTGTTTTTCAAGACATGATTTCTCTGTGTGACAATCCTGACTGGCCTGGAACTCAATTTGTAGACCAGGCTGACCTTGAACTCACTGAGATCTGACTGTCTCGGCCTCCCAAATGCTGGGATTAAAGGTGTGTGCCACCACCGTCTAGCTGAGAGCAAACCCTGTAGCACGCATCCACTTTCCCCAAACCAGGCTGGAACCCTAGGCATTACTCGTCCCTCTAGACAGGGAATGGGGTGGGGTGGGGTGGGAAGGCTAGAGCTGGGGGAGGAGCAGTGTGAGTAGTGGGGGCCACCCCACCTGTTGCTGCTGCCCAGCAGTGCTGGCAGGAAGACGCAGCCCTCCCCTCTGCCTCCACCCTCTCTCACCAGAACTCCCATCCATTGTCATCACACTGTCTCAGCGCTGCTATATTTAAGACAGCGCAAGGCTCCAAGATCACATTCTTCACCCGTACTCTCTGAGCTGAGGGCAGGAAGAGACCAGGGACCTTCTCACTGTCCTGGAGACATCTGAGTGGACACTGCTGCTTCTGTGAGTCACATACAGGGATCAGGGTCTGAGGGAGCCCTGCTGAGAGAGACCCCAACCTTCCACAAGGAATGGCCTATGGAGGGTGGGGTATATGGTGCCTGTGTGGTGTACGTATCTGTGGTGTATGTGTGTCTGTGGTATGTGGATTTGTGTATGAGTATATGGTGTGGGGGGGTGGTCTATGCATAGGTTTACATGTATGTCTATGATGTGTGTATGTGTTCATGGTGTGTGTGTATTGTGTAGAGAAGGGTAGTATTTGTGTGACTGTGGTGTGTATGTCTATAGTATAGGGTGGGGAAAATGTGTGCATGATGTATGTATTGTATATGTGTGTGTGCTATAGGGTATGTGTGTGTGTGTGTGTGTAAATATGTTGTGAAAGAGGCTTGGGAGATTTAAGCTTGGTAGCACCCCAGGTGAAAACAGGGATCCCAGAACTCCATGCCTCATTTCACTTTTGTATCTCTGGGTCTTCTAAGTCTTCTGATCCAAGTCCTCCTTGATATCAAAGCTAAAAATAAAGAAAAGAAAAGGCCCTTAGGGGTACACTTGGAATTGGAGCCTTTGCTATGTGGGGCAGTCAGTCAGAGAGCCTGAAACCATGGCAATCCCAAATCCTAGGGCTGCCAGGTTCATCCAGCACAGAGGATGGGGACATGGGGCTCTGCTGGGAAAAGGAACAGCCTCCACTAACCAGGGCCAGATCATCACAACCTCCTGGGATCTAGGGAGCCACTGCATGTCCCAGCTTGTGCCGACCCACTGGGCAGGATACATCCACTCCAGCTCAGCCAATAGAGCTCCTTGCAAAGGGCAATGCAGGCCACAAACCTGTCCCTGCTTAATCCCACACGTTAGTCAGCGCCTTAAAAAGCATCCATGGCTCACCACAGCGGAGGGGTCTGGAGGCTGAGTGCCAGTGGACCAGCCGCTGTGTTCATCAGGGCAGAGTATCAGGGAAAGAGCCAGTGCTGATGCCAGAACACACAAACCCTTGCTGTTGGGGCCGTGGCCAGTGTCCCGGAGCAGCAGCGGAGCCTTGCTCCCCAGATCAACTCTGTGGCTGAGGAAGAAGTGTGGGATGAGCAAGTCTGGCTAGTTCTCTGGGTGCAGAGACACTTTCTATCCAGGAGGGGCCAGAGCCATCCTAAGTGGGCAACTGTCCTTTGGCTTTGTGGTAACACTTGTTAGGAGCCAGAAGACCTTTTGGAGCAGCTCTTAATGGCCTCTGGCTATAACAAGCCAGAGTCCTCCCTGATGGTCACAGCTGTGGGCAGCACAGGAAACCAGACCTTAATGACGTGGAAAAATGCATGCCTATCAACTCTCAACTAACCCTCAGCAACCTGAGCCCTGCCACCACCCAATGATGCACGCCCTACATACAGATATGAAATAATCACTTTCCGAATGAGGACTAAATTGCAGGGTACAGATGCAAAACACCAAAAGGATTAAAGGAGAGAAAGTTCTAGAAGGCCTGTTATATTTTTATAAGGCTTCTAAGGAAGATGGTGGCAGTGTCTGACACTTGGATAGGATTTACTTCTCCAGGCTTTCAATTAACCTTTTTGTTCCCCTGTCCCAGGAATGTGATGGGTACGTTTTACATATGAGGAAGCCAAGTTATACAGTCCAAGGGCAGACACTTGGAAGCGGGGATGAGGAACTAGGGTCATGGGATGGCACCCAGTGACTGACTCACATTGTCTACATCATGTGCTAACATGGCACCTTCAGGCTGGGCTTGGAAGAGTGGCTGGGGTAAGGAAACCAGTATAACAAAGGCACAAGGGCAGGACTAGAGGAAAAGAGGGGACACCTGCCCATTCTGAGACCTAGACCCAGCCTAGGACAGCACCATGCTGACACTCCTCATCTGGAAAGCCAAGCCCTGGAGAAGGGGATGGATGGGACAGGACTGCAGCTGGCAGCCAGGGCTCTTCTCCTCAATGGGATTCTGTTCATCCACTGCCAAGGCACATGGGATAGTAGCGAAGCCAGATTCTCCTTGTACCTGCCTTGGTCACCATGGTCCTTTACCTTTTCTGACTTTCTATGTTCCTCCAGAGCAGCAGTTCTCTACCTGTGGGTCGTGACACCTTTGGGGGTCACAGATCAGATATTTACATTACAGTTCATAACAGTAACAAAATTATAGTTATGAAGTAGCAACCAATAATTTTATGGTTGGGGATCACCACCACATGAGGAACTGTCTTAAAGGGTCACACCATTAGGAAGGTTGAGAACCACAGCTCTAGGGAAAGAACATCTCTCTCCAGAGTGCTCCCAGAGCACTTGAAAAGGGAGGGAAGGTACCTGGTATGATGACCATACACCTTGGCCTTGACAGGTTGTTGCCCTCGAAGCCATGACTCTGCCCCACAGTCCCGGAAACGCTGGGGAGCCCGGAGCCTCCCAGGCTGTGCAGGTCCACAGGCTGGAACACAGGCAGGAGGAGGAACAGAAGGAGGAGAGACAGCACAGCCTACACATGGGTTCTTCTGTGCAGAGGCGGACCTACCGCAGCAGGTGGGAGTACCCATCCCCCCCGGGGTCCCTCCCCACTCCAGGACCCCAGTTAGAAGCATAGCCCAGCTGTCCGGAGACTCCCTTCTAAGATGGGAAGCACAGGTCCACCTTCTGAGATAAGGCCCCACCCCCATGAGAATGAAAGAGACAACGGGCAGTCCTCTATAGACCCTGTCTGAGAGGAGACAGGCTGATGGGGGAGTGTGTTGGGGATTTTTTGTCACTCTGAGAAAAACACATTAGGAGAGAGGCTGGAGAGATGGCTCAGTGGTTAAGAGCACTGGCTGCTCTTCCAGATGTCCTGAGTTAAAGTCCCAGCAACCACATGGTGGTTCACAACCATCTGTGATGAGATCTGGCACCCTCTTCTGGCCTGCAAGCATGCAGACAGAATACTATACAAAATAAATAAATAAATCTTTAAAACACACACACATTAGGAGAAGTGGCTCTTTTTGGTTGTTGTGGTTTGGTTTGGGTTTCTTGTTTTGTTTTTTGGATAGCCCTTTATGGGGTTCATTCCAGTTTGGCTCCACTGTTTTGAGCCTGAGATAAGGCAAAACAAGTATCATATTAGAAGGGTAGCCAGCCAGGAATAAAGAAAGAAAGGAAAGCCTGGTACATGACAAAGCCCCCAAGAAGACTTCCCCCAACCAGGTTCACTCTTAATATTTCTTCTGCCCCCAATAAAACTATCAAACTGAATCCATCAGGGGATTCATTGACGGACGACACACAGCCCATGGTCCAGTCACATCTCAATAAGTAGATCTGCCAACTGATGACTGAGTTTTCAACACCAGTCCTTTAGTGGATACCCCCTATCCAGACCCTAAGAGGAGGCACAGTGTGTCCTCTGGAGCCTCTGGGGTGGACAGACACCCCTGCTCTCTGAGACCTCAGTATGCAGAGGGAGGTTCCATATGAGAGAGGAACTCAGGAGGTGCCTGCTGGTACCCTAATGTACAGCCATGGTCTCGGAAACCCCAGGCAGTGCCCCAAGAGTGAGTGGTGACCTCCCTTTCTTCTGGCAGTGAGGAGCAACAACAGTTCAGCTCTGAAGATTATGCCCTGGCAGCTGCCCTGGCCCTGACAGCCTCCTCAGAGTTGTCCTGGTAAGTCATATGGCTGTCCCTGGATGAGGAAGGACTGTCTTGTCTTGACTCTGGTCCCTGGTCCTGTCTCCTACCTCACCACTGGGCTCCCACTGATACCCAATGGACCTTGTTCTGGCAGAGAAGGGCCAGGCAGGGTGCAAACTAGTCACTTTCTCCACACCAAGCTTCAGACACACACACACACACACACACACACACACACACACACACACACACACACACACTTTCCTAAGACAAGGTTTTATGTAGCCTAGGCTGGCCTCAAACTTTCTATGTAGCCAATTGTGGCCTTGAACTTTTGGTCCATCTCTCTCCTGAGTGCTGCTGGGACTGCAACAAGTACCATCACATCTGGTCTATGTGATTCTGTAGATCAACCCCAAGGCTCTGTGCGTTTAAAGCAAGCATGCCACCAACTGAGCTGTGTCCACAGTCCCTTCCCAAGGTGTCTGCAGGCAGAAGACATAAGGCTGTGCTTGGTCCTAAAGCACACTCCCGAGGGCCACTTGCACATGGGGGTGGGGGAGTACAACTACTCCAGCCTCTATGGGCCATGTCTGAGTCCTGACCCTGCAGGGACGCTAAGCTGAGGCGCCAGACCACCACAGTGGAGCTGGAGGAGCGTGGGCAGAAGCGGGTGGGCTTTGGCAATGACTTGGAGCGGATAGAGATGACCTTCCTCCGGACCCAAAGGCTACTGCGGCAGAGACGTGACTGGAAGGCGTTGCGTCAACGGGTGAGACACTGGGGTGTCATCCCCACCCATCTCCCCTGCCTTAAATGTAACACCCACCACAAGCCCTATCCTCACTCTCACCCCCTCCTCAGAAGGCTCCCATGAAAGAGCCTGAGCCCTGGGTTCCAATCCCAAGGCCCCTATGTTTGGCCGTGTAACCTGGGAAAGGGTCAGGCTGTTCCTGAGCCCCAATCTCCAGTCTGTGACTCAGGTGTGACCGTAACAGCTCAGTTACGGGTAGAAACTAAATGAGCTTAGATTTGCAGAGTGACTTCTCAGAGTCTAGAAGACCTTCACAACTATGCAGGGTCCAGTCTCACTTCCCTGCCCACTGCCCACTTCAGGTGGCTTCTTCACACAGCCCCATGTTTTTCATGGCCTGACTCATTTACTCCCCGTTACAACCCCTGGGGGCACTGAGCAAATAAATATCTTCATCACCCTCATTTTACAGTCAAGGAGAATGAGGCTCTCCTGTGACCCCATAGCTGGTCCCAGAGCTCATTCCCTGCCCGCCGAGAAACACTGCCTCCAGGTGGCATGGATGAGGGCTCAGCCAGAGTCTGAATGCCAGGGCTGGAAGAGAGGAGGCGACATTGCGGGGAAGCCATCCCTGGCCCCCTAGGACTCACACACCCCTTTACTTCCAGACAGAGGAGAAGGTCCGGGAGGCCAAGGAGCTGATCGAGCTGTGCTCTGGCCGCGGCCCCTGGTTCTGGATCCCACTTCGCTCACATGCCGTCTGGGAGCACACCACTGTTCTGCTGACCTGCACCATCCAGGGCTCGCCTCCATTCCAGGTCTCCTGGTAAGCCCCTGGGCTGGAGACAGAGTTCTCGCTCTGCTTCCATCTCGCCTGGAAGCATGATCTCCATCTTCACCCAAGGTTCCTCTGTCTCGGCGAGGCCACAGCCCACAGACTCTGAGCTCTGCCCACCCTCCACACAGAGCAACGACAGCTGCCTGGGAGCCTCAGGCCACCTCAGGCCTTGGTTATTCTTAGTCACCTTGCCGCCAGCCTGGGCCTGGAAATCTGGACCCCTGGAGAGCCAGCCCTTGTAAAAATATGATTGTGATGGCATGAGAAGGCAGCTGCTCTGAGCTGGGCATCTTCAGCACTAGAGACTGTCTGGGAGTCAGAACAGAGCCTAGAAGCTAGGGAGGAGGTGGGGAGGGCAGGAGCCTGCTGGGAGAACAGGCTCAGATCTAGAGTGTGAGCCTAGAGTCAGGCCTAGCATTCTCTCCACTGAGTCAGAGTGTGGCCTCAGGTAGGTGACTTAACCTTCCTCCATCTGTTTCTGGTTTTGCCTCAGTGTCCTGCTCATAAGTGGGCTGAAGACCCCTTATCAAACTGCTGTGTGCTAAGGGTTTAATGTCCCACAGTGGAAGTCCTCAGAAGTTGACAAGAGCTGGTAAAGCTCGGGGCATGGTTGCGCGTGCCTGCCACCCCAACATTCAGGAGGCTGAAGCAGGAGGATCATGTCTCTAAAAGAAAGCAAAACAGAAAGAGCTAGGAAAACAGGAGACATTTCCAGAAGCATACCAGAACCCCAGAAGCCACATAGCTGTGAGGCTTCCCCTGAGCAAGGTGGTGGAGATGGGGGCAATAGTGGTCACCTCCTAGAAGGAGGCACATGGTCCAGAGTCCTTGTTAGCTGGGTCTTAGGCCGATTGCCAGGCATGCTGCAGAATAAGGAAGTGAGTTCGACAACATTTACCATCAGTATCACCGTCCCTGTCAGGGTCTCACCCTCAAGGGTCACTCAGTTCAGGGAGAACCGGCCACAGAGAAGTCTATCCATGGTCCCGCTCACATCAAGAGGGAGGTGGAGGGGAGGAAATGGCCATCCAGGACTGAAGTGTCCAGTGGGCTTCCCGGAAGAAGCGGCATGGGAGCTGGAGGGTACACAGCCCATGGTCCAAAAACAGAAGTAAAAGGCAGCATCTTTCTGGGACCCACTTCACACAGACCCAGCACTCATGTCCAGTCTGAGCCTCATCAAGGGTCACACAGCCAAAGAGGACCAGGATTCAAATTCAGGGATCTTTCCAGCAGCCACAGAGCAAGTTTTTGTTGTTTTTTTTTGGGGGGGGGGCGTTGTTTTGTTTTGTTTGTTTGTTTTACTTAAAGCACACAGTGTTAAGGAGTTGAATATGGAAAGCATATAGCTGGTCACAACCAAGAGTGACATCTTGAGGGAGACGGCCTCCAGGTTGGCCAGTTTCAGCCGTGCGCAGGGCAGTGTGCTGGGCACTGAGGTGCCATGGACACCAAGGCAATCCCATGAGCAAGAGGGTGGCCCCAGTAGGAGATCTGCTTCCAACTCAGATCTGGGCTAAGTGGGGGTTCAGAGCCTCAGCTGTCCACCTGCAGCCAAGCCCCGCCCACCTTGGCTCTTCAGCCCTCATCTAAGGCATTCCATGGAAGCCTCTAGGAAGGGGATTGGTTTCTGCTCCAGCCAACAAGGCCAGCCCCACAGAGCCAAACATTTTGGAAAAGGTAGAAGCCAAGGCCAGGCTGTCCAGCCGCACTGACTCTGGTGGCCCCTGGGGCTCCCGGCTCTGTGATCCCGGAGCAGAACCATGGGACTGGTGTCTAAGGTGATATCCCTGCTCAAGATACAGGCTTGCCATGAAAGTCCATTCATTCAGCAACCAGTGAGCATTATCCAGATGCAAAGGCAGCAAAGACTCAAGCATACACTTACCCTAGTGAGGCAAACATGCCGAGCCCTCAGTTACACAAACTGGAGCTGCTGTCACTGAGGAGGAACTTGCTACCTCTAGAAGACAGTGGGGAGTGGGGGTTGTTCTCAGGATGCTGCACAATGAAAGCCAGGGCTCTATTTGGGGCTACAAGTGAATAGGAAGGAGAAACCCAAGTCTGGGTATCTGTGTGAGCTCAGCGCTCAGAGTGGCTTCAGGGACAGACAAAGGGAGGGAGCAACAACTGCCAGAAGGAGGTGTTGTGAGTGACCAGCCCGGGTACAAGAGAGATAGTGAAGATAATGACAGGTGGCAGTGTTCAGTGTTGTATCTCAGGTTTCAATGTCAGAGACAAGACGAGACACGGGAAAATGTAAATGATGCCTTAGAAACTCCAGGCGGCTAGGAGCTGGGCAAGAGCTGATCAGGTGAAGGGAACCTGCTCTGGCCATGTTTAGCCCACAGAAATAAACCTTAAATCTCACTGAAGTCATCTAAAATAGACCTCTCAAAGTACCCTTAAGAGTGAAACCTAGGGCTAGAGAGATGGTTTAACAGCTAAGAATGAGTACTGCTCTTCCAAAGATTCAGAGTTCAATTCCCAGCCCCATGCTGGTAGCTCACAACTGTCTGTCTGTAACTCAAGCTCAATGAAGCCAATATCCCTGGCTTCTATAGGAATCGCATGCCCAATTCCCCACATACCTCCTGCACATGACTCATTTTTTTTTAATTTTTTAAAAAATATTTTAAAAACAAAACAAAAAAAAGGCTGGGTTGTAGTTCCAGGACAGCCAGAGCTTCATAGTGAGACCCTGTCTTAGAAACAAAAAAATAAATAGATAAAAATAAAATATGATCTAAAATCAAAATACCCTGGGACAGGTAAGCGTAGAAACATAGGCCTGTGATCCCTGTTCTCAGGAAGCCGACTGAAGCAGGAAGGTCACAAACCTGAAACTGGCCTGAGCTACCCAGTCAGACACTGTCTCCAAGAACAGTAAGATTTAGGTAAATAGTAAAAGTCTCCTTCATGGGGCCTCTCTAGTTGGAAGGGCAGGATGAGGCTGAGGGCCTGGCAGTGCAGGCCACGCCTGGAGCTACAGCTGCTGTGTCTTGAGAGGAAGACAGAGCCTGGACAGCCTGAGGTGTCTGGAATGTTCCCGACAGGTGTGGGCTAGGGGCCTGGCCCTCAGAGCCTGAGGAGATGTGTGCCCAGATTAAGCACTGCCCTTCCCACAGGGGACTTAGCTGGGCCCCTTTCCTAAATGGGTACAGCTTGGGAACAGAGTCGGTGTGCCTCTGTTCTGTGACCATGGAGATAAACAGAACACCCCTGACAGACAGGCCAGGTCCAAGGAAGGCTTGTCCTCAGGCTGGGGCGCCCTCTGTCTGCAGCAGGAATACCATCTTCTTCAAGCTCAACTGCCAACACTTGAGCAGGATTAGAGGCTAATTTCTGCATTCACCCTCTGAGACACAACACATCATCTCTTCATTCCCCCCCTCAGCCACAACACACACACACACACACACACACACACACACACACACACACCACAATCGCACACACACACCACAACCACCACCACAATAACAACAGCAAAAATACTGGGGGTGTGTTCAGGGTTTAGCACCTGCCTGCCCTCACCGCTGTTGGCCACTGTCACATGACCACGCCACCCAGAGAGAAGGGCCATCAGGCAGGCAGTATGTTGGGAGGCTCCAAGGTAAATCCTGTTTCTTTAGCACTGGAGGGAACTGGTATGGGAGAGCAATGGGTCTCGAGTCAGGCACCACACACAGTAAAGAGACTTTGATGTTGTTGAGACAAACCCGTGTGTGCTAAGCAAATGTTCCACACTGAGCCTGCACCCCAGCTCCCTGCTAAGATTTTTAAGGTTCCTTGGGTGATTTAATAGAGAGCTAAAATTAAGAGCAGAAAGCCAGATATGGCGGTGCAATCCCAACACTCAGAAGGCTGAGCCCTGAGGATCATGTAAGACCCTGTCTCCATGAAGATGGAGGAGGAGGAGGGAGAAAGGGGAAGAGAAGAGAGAGGAGGGGAGGAGGAGAGAGAGACAAGCAGCAGTGACTAGGCTTGGTGGCTGTACACTTGTGGTTCCAGGAGGGATCCAGATGGAGGCAAGAGTATTAGTAATTCATGGCTATTCTTGGCTACATTTCAAAATTAAGGCTATCCTAGGCTACCAAAGACCCAATTTCAAAACTTCAATAAATAAATAACAGTAATTATAATCTCTGCCCTGAGGAGTTATAGAGTGGGGTTATAGGGCTTTCGTTGGTACGGGTTCCTCAAAGAGGAGCAAAACTACAAAGCTTAGTCCCTGGTATGCCCTGAGAGCAACCCCAGACTGGGATGGATGTCTGAACAGTGAGCAAGTATTATCCCACCTCAGGGTGGCAGCAGTCCTTCAGAGTCAGCCCTGTGTATGGGGCCGGCCCAGTGCACTCCCAGTCCCCAGATAAGGACACTGAGGCAGGCAGTGGAAGTTCCCTGGGTGTTGCCAGCTGGTGAGCAGCACATTATTGAGGTTGGAATCTGGACCTGAGAAGCTCAGTGTCCCCCATCTCACCACAGCTAATGTGTCACCACAGGTACAAAAATGACATCCGGATCGATCCCCGCCTCTTTCCAGCTGGCAAGTACCGAATCACCAACAACTACGGGCTGCTGACCCTGGAGATCAGGAGGTAAAAACCACAGACCCAGTGTGGCCAACACCACTGAGACCAAAGCTGAACTCTGGTGCCTGGGTTTCCTCATCCTCAGAAGTCTGTAAGACCAGGGGGAAACTTGGGGGTCCAGTAAGGCTCCTCTTTGAAGCAAGAGAGATCTTGCCCTGAGTGTCAGGGAACAGAGGGACACCAAGGGACTCTTGGCTTGCTGATTGGACCAGATGGACACATCCTACTGCCTACTCTGTCATCAGGGTACCTTGGACAGGAACCAGTCATGCTTTTTTTGGGCACACACAGGGCTGGGCTGGCTGGTGACAAGACCCAGGCCTGACACAGAAGATCCTGGCTGTGGCATGGACTGGCACTAGGCCTCAGCTAGTTTGTTGCCCTGAGTGAAAGGAGGCGGCCCTGAGCCTGGTTTATGACATGAAGATGTCAATAGGGCAGGAGGCAGTGCCTGGAAAGAGGCACAGACAGACTCATTGATTCTGGGAGAATCACTTTGCCTCTCTGATTTTCTCCAGTCAGTATTGAATGCAGTATGGAACACAATATTTTCAAAGCCCTTTCCTTGAGTTGCTTTAGACTGATGGTGTGGCCTTAGTTTTTCAGGGGGACCCAGTGACCAGCCTAGGGTCTTCACCACCAAGCTCCCTTCCCACCCAGCCTTGCCCATCTGCAGAGGGGTGTGCACTCCTACCAGACTTCTCCCTTGCTCCTTTTCAGATGTATGATTGAGGACTCCGGCACCTACACTGTGCTGGTGAAGAATGCCTACGGCCAGGCCTCTTCCTTTGCCAAAGTCCTCATCCGCTGTAAGTCCACCCATCCCCAGCAGGTCAGGTCCTGCCCAAGACCAGCAGATAGCCATGGACCTATGGTCACACATGAGGAAAGGACTGTATTGTCTGAGATTGGGAAATGGGGGGGGGGTGAGGCTGGCTTTGGACTGAGAGAGCCACCTCCTTTAGACTAGCAAGGACAGCTAGGTAAATTGATGGCATAAGCATGACAAGGCAGAAACCTCTGTCCCTGAAAATTGATGTGGAGAGCCACCAGGAGGAGACGGAAGGCACTGTCTTCCCCTGAGCACTCATTATGCCTCAAGCATATACACACTCTCTCTCTATCCTGTGCTGGCCTTGAACTTAGCTCTGTCTACAGGGTCCTAACAGGCATGGACCAGTCACCAAATTTTGTGTGAATGAACTAGGTGGATGGACTATAAAAGGAGGACTGCCCTCCAAGTGGAGGACAAAACAGACTGGGTTTCGGGCCCCAATGATCCTTGACAAACCTCATGGAGAACCTAGCCGACTGTTCCAGGTGACCTTGTCTACCCACCTCCATGAGCATGCTGGAGCTGATCCCAATGAGAGCCTCCAAAAGGGTGGTCCAAGAGCACAGGGAATGCCAAGCCCTCCTTATGCCCTGCCCACTGTCCCTCTTGGCTTTCTCGTGTGTGTTTTCCTATCGAATGTGTCCCCTCCTAGATGTTGCCCCATGAACACTCAAAAATCACAGCTCACAGCAGATCAGACACCCAGACATCAGCCAGACCTGAGTTCCCATTCTGACTCTGCCCCAGCCAGCCATGTGGGCCTAACCTCTCTGAGGGGTGGTTTACTTCCCTATACAACAGGGTCCTGCTTTCTGCCTCAGACGCTTGTGGCCATTTGATGAAACGATGCAGATACACTGTTCCTGGGATAGGATGCTGTCCTCTGTCCCTCTGTGAATGCCACGCCTGGGCTTCAGGGCTCTGGAGTGAGAGGCCCCCAGCTGGTGTATTCTCTATCTCTGTGTCTCTCTGGGCCTCTGTCTCTGTTTCCCCTCTCTCTCTCTCTCTCTCTCTCTCTCTCTCTCTCTATCTGT